AAAAATAAGGCCCTATCTACAGCCAGTGTTTGGTTTGTCTGTTTGGGGCTACTGTAGAAACATGGCGGTTCAACATGGCGGACTCCATGGAAGGAGACTCGTGTGTGTCTGTAGATAAAAACAGCTCATTCTAAGGTAATGAAAACACGATAGCTAATTAAGGTGATTATACACTAATGAAAACATACCTATGAATATTATATTCCATTTCTCCCATCCTAAATGTTACGCACTGGACCTTTAATAGTTGTTATATTCAGACAAAGTAATCACATATTCAGGGTAACAAGATGAAGTTTATACACCCATGCTGGTGGCTTTGTCAGGCTGTACTTTGCCACAGTGATGCTATGAGGTAAATGCTAATGTCATCATACTAACAAGCTCACACCTACAATGCTTACAATGACATGAACCTGATGTGTAGCATGTTCACCGTTCAACTGCAAGAATTAAGTCACAAATCAAGATACTGACAGACTTGATCATGGAGCTAGAGCAGTGGTTCTCAACCTGGTGTCTGGGGGTCCTTGAGGGGGTCCCCAGAAAATGGGGGAGATTTTAGATGAACTATTATTTGACTAGAAGTTAGCCCAGTGAAAGAATGCATTAGAATGACTGAAATGAAGGTTGCAAAACAGCTGCACTACAGGAAAAGTCAGGGGATAACCGACGTCAAAGAAATTCATCCTCTGGGTGCCGTGAAAGTCTGTACAAAACTACCCGGCAATCGATAAAATGTTTGTTGAAATATTTCAGTCTGGACCAAAGTGGTCCACTCCACTCCTCAAATCTTTGTCTTTTATCGATTCCCTGCTCCAGCTGCAAAACTAAAGGTGACCGTGCCTTTGCTGTTTTAGCCCCGACCCTCTGGAATCATCTTCCCCAATCGCTCAGATTTGCTGAATCTTTGGGCTGTAAGCAACTCCTCAAAACCCACATCTATAGGCTGGACTTATTATTATCATCTCCTTTCCTGTGTTTATTTAATTATTTTTGTTGTGTCTGTTTTTTTTTAAAACTTATTCTTTTTCTCTCGTTTTTTTATCCATATATTTTTATGTATGTGTATGTATGTGTATGTATTCCAGGCAAAGATTCTCTCATTTCAGGCCTTATTATGTGAACCAAAAGTCCTATAATTTTATGGCGAGGGTGTTAACATTCATGTGGCCTAATGCTCAATACAGACCAGTTCAAGTTGGTGGAGGGAGGTCAGATATGTGCTGTAGGATTTGTATCATACATACAGCACTGTCTTGTGGAGCTACCTAATAAATGCCCTTCAGTTTATCAATATGGCCCTTTTAGCATGTGCTGTCGCTCCTAAGTTGATCTATGTAAGTGATACTCCACTGGAAACTCTACCTTGGTGTTTCAATCTGAAAATGGCACCAAGGACAAACTGTGGCTGTCGTCTTTTGTTGTCTGTATTTTCTTTTTTGAAAGAAAAGCTGCTGTGCCTTAATGTCAAAAAATATCTGAAACATAAAAGTTAAAGTTGTTACTGATCTATATATTAGTGTATATAATATAGTATAAGTCTATGGGTGCAGGTTGCTTTCTGTTTGAACACAGCCAGCAGATGGCATACACTGACACATTTCCCTCCATATGACAGTCCAAGACTAACCTACATACTTCCATACATCCAAGGTCTCTGAAATTGACTTTCATTTGCTTGTTAGTGAATGATCTGAAATAAGACAAATAGCAATCTGCCTGTTGTCGCCCTACTTTCATGTTTTCATGGTGAGTAAGCAAAATGTTTTAAAGGAGCAGAAAGCAGGTGAGTGTTCATCTACCCTTTGGAAATCTGACACTTTCCTGCAGGACATGTAAAAAGGAAAAGGCAGCGTTGTAGCATTGCGATCGGGAAGTCAGCAGGCAGTGATGATGTGCTGTGGCAGTGGGTGACCTTTTACTGGAGGACACACACTCAGCTGCTATAACGTCATCAGTACAGCTGCTGCAGTTTCTCTGTGCTGTCACTAGGGGGCAAATAATGGCCAGTGTTTATAGTGCTGATGTAGGCTACACACCTTACCTGCCGTTAAAGGGAAGCTCCACCCTAAATTAGATACAAGTGATGTTATTTCAGCTGAATACAGACTGTCACTTGGAGACAAATCCTGGAGCAGCTCCATAATGGGGACATTTTGTCATTCACAAATGGTTGTGCTGTACACTCACTGGGATGAGACATCTTGAACTAAACCTCAGAATTAGTCATTTCAGTGCATAGCCTGAGACTCCCTTAAGTGTAACTTAATGACAATGTCAAGTAAAGATGATCTGATCTCCAATTTAACAAAACACAGTCCACATAATAAATATAATATAGCACAATATTAATACTGTTTTAATAAAGTTTAATCTTAATGTAAATGCAGTAAGTAATACAAGCGTGTGTGAATGGAGAAACACAGATATGAAGCTTTTCTTTTTTTCTTAATAATCTCAATAATAATAAAAATGTCTTCTGTTTGTTCAGCTGTGGTCCAGGACAAAGTGACACTGAAGACTACCGTGTGAACTCCTTAAACCCACTCTGTTTTCAGTCTACTACAGGCTACTAATGAGGATGACGCATTAAGGAGTTAGTATAGGTGTACTAGTACAATATAGGTGGAGGCTGTTCTCCATCAGTTGTGTTATCTATGACTCATTGATGCAGTGCCCGGTGCTATTTGTGTGCCCACAGAGCCACAATGGTTTCTTGGTATTCATGCAGCCTATCAGCTGACACCTGTGTGGGGTCATGACCTGCTGTAAGGAGCACCCTGGGGACCCCAGCTGCCATTCCCAGTCTGTGTCTACTCCTCAACTACACAGCTATTATACCACAGCGACTGTCACACTGCTAAGACAGCTGCTTATAATATTATAATGCAGTAAATCTCAAAACCTTCTGACAAATCCAATGTTCCCGGCTCTGAATCCAATGAATATAGCATGACCGGTTTGGTCTCTAACAGGATGATAATGCAGACTCTGCACCAGTATGATGCAGCCCCGCAGAATTGCAGTGTCTGCAGCAGAGACTCAATGACCTTGCTTCAAGGTCGCAATGACACTGCCGTCAGTTTTTCCTCTCGTGCGCGCACCACGAAAACCCTGTCCCGAGCCCCGAGCCCGCTGCATGCATGTGACCACATCAACACACACACACACACACACACACTGCCGTCCTGCACTTGTGACACAGCTAGGGGAATGTGGCTCATTGGTTTAAACAGACTAGACTAACGTTTATTGGTCTGTAATTAGCCAGATAATGCCGGAGTCTCCGGGGAAACAGTCACTTAACCAAAGTACACCACGGTGCTACTCCATTGTCTCTGTGTGCAGCGTCCTGCTTCTGATCCTTTCTTTCTTGTTAAATTAGTGAACAAGGTTGTCAGCTCCTCTGTGGCAACTTCTCTCCTCTCTGTGCCAGCTGTTAGCAGGCATGTTGGAGAGCGCAGGGGCAACCTATTTCGAGACGCAGCAGGCGACAAAGTTAAACAGAAAAATCATTGTATGGTTGTTATCCGTTACATTACGCAGAGCGCGCACAGCCAGATATCCGGGACATGTTTCATGATGTTTCATTGGTGACTCTTTGGGCAAACTGCACTGCGGTTATACTATCCTATATATTCAGACGTCTACCGCTTGATTAGCTCCCTTTCTTATCCCATTGATGTCCTGATCTCTTCTTCCTTGGCTCATGTCCAAGTAGTGTAGTGGAGGATTGAGCCGGGTCAGTGTCACAAGACCGACAGCATGACTACATTTTCCATAGAGGTGTGCTGTAAGAGACATGCAGCTCTTTCTGCAGCAGTCCCCTGGAGCTTTGGGCATAACTGGAATAAAAATATCCCTCATAATATTGAAATGTGTGGAATGTTAACTTAAAAATACCACAACAAAACTACTATATTAGGACAAAATGCACAGTAAGGACAATTGAAACCTACATTTAAACTAGTATTTAAGTCCCTCCGACGGTCATTTCATGATTTTTCTGTTAAATTTGGGTTCAGAGTTGAGTTCAGCTGCTGAAGGAACATTTCCAGATTTGGTACCACTGATTTGTAGACAGCTGATCTGGAAACCAAGACTGTTTCAGTGAAATAATACCTGGACTACATTGGGATTAAGGGAGACTGGGTCATATTTTTTCACGAGTTGCAGGCCCTTATTACAATGCTGCTGATGACGCTGGTGGAAGGTGCGTGCCGACGTAACGGAGACTCAGCGGACGCAAACTGTGCAGAGGGAGGAGTCAGGAGCACAGGGGACGACGTCACTGACCGCGTCAAGCTAGCGAGAGAGAGCAAGGCGGCAACCGGAAGTCACTCAGTTTCAGGGTACGAAAATAAAACCGTGATTTGTGTTTATTTTATTAATGTTAAATGTTTAATGGTTCTGGGTAGTATGTCGCTTATGTGGGTAATGGAGAGTTGCTCTCTCTTGTTAGACCCCGGTTTGCTTTGGGTTGTCGTCTAGCTCGAGGCAAGTTAAAATAGTCTGTGCGTCGACAAGTTTTATTGTGAATTATTGTGTTTGTTTTACCGGATATTCAGTGTTTCTTCTTCCAAGTCTTGACGCTGATGTCCAAGTACAGCGGTTGTGGCAGCCGAAGACGAGAATTTATAACACCAGTGTACGGAACCGAAGAGGCGGATAAGACAGTGTGTCGCCGGTTGTTGTTATCGCCTCATCGTACGGTAACGTAGTGATGCGATGTGAGAGACCCGGTGAGGCTTGTACAGCGCCGTTTCACCGGTTACACCGACAGAGGACTTGCCAGCCGCAAAGACTTCACTGACTTCAGATAAAAAAAACAACAACCCTGCGATGTTTTTACATCTCCCAGTAAGTAACTGTGCTTTGCCGTACACTGCAGACACACTCTCGCAGTGGCTCCACGCTGTTATTAATCTTTTTATCTCATTATGAATGTGTTGGCGGAGATGTCAGCTGCTGAACGGAAGCCTGATGTGCATGCACGATTCGCCTGGCAGAGCTAAGTTCGCGTGGCCACGTTATTGGGGGTAGGGGGCACGAGCTGCTGAATAAATATTGAATACATTGTGTAATAATTTGCAGTCCGAGCTTCCTGTCCAGGTTACACCCCACTCATAAACTACCCCCGGACTAATTCACACGTAAATAAATGCTATAACACTCTATGTAATGGCTTATGCTCTAATCGCCGATAAACACCCCGACAAAATGTCCTAATAACCGGGCTGCATGCTCACTTATTGGGTACATTAAGAATGCAGGGCCACGGTTGAGTACGATGCAGCAGATAGATGTCCTCGTATGGCTCACAGCATGTCGTCCTTACTTAAAAGGCGAGCCGTGCATGAGCAAATAACAGCCCGCACTTCTTCAACTGTACACACTTCGGCTTTATTCTACATATATGTGTCTCAACCCCCGTCACTTATTCGTTTTTTTCTTCCTGTCCTAACACACTGAACTGTAAAAGATACCGAGCCTGCTGAACCAGGATTGAGGTCACTGATCTTAAGGCATAATCCACTATGGCAATTAACCTTTCACCGGTCCGAGATCAGTAGGCAAGGTCACCCCTGGGTGCTGTTCACTCCGTCTCCACAGTGCGCCGCGTTTAAAACCCTCAAACTGAGTTTCGTGTGCAGTCAGTGTGATGCATTATCAGTGACAAAGACCGCCGATGTCCCCTTCACTAAACTATGATAAGACACCAGTCAAGAGAAAGGGGGGGACTACTTTATGTGCTGTGACATTTGACTTTTAATTCACGGGGAAGAGGTGTCTTCACTAATAACAAACTAGTTTGTTTGATTGTCTGCTATGATTAAAATCTAAATCTTGTAATTTAATTGAATCATCTTCCTCGAAATGTTACTTAAGAAAATGAAGTTCTGCCACAACCACTGTGAGTAAAGAAGCACATATTACAGCCTCGTTCCCCAAGTTTAATGTTGCTTGCTGCAATTTGGCATTTAATGTTGTCTACTTTTTGTCAAAAGCCAGAGTTATTTTCACACTTAAACTCAGATCATGTTTTGTGCAACGCTTCTTTTCTTAATGTTTATTAGAACTGGTCCCTTTAATTATTTACAGAGAGTTATCACCAAACTTCAGCTTATGACTTTGTGTGAGCGAGAGACAAGGTGTTGGCATTACTCTGTCTGTCCTTCAAGCATTCCTGTGACTGTGACCTTTGGAGTGTGTCACGCAGTGTAAGGGGGAGGGTACTCGTGCAGCGTGCAGAAATCTGGATAGATACAGTGGAATATGTATTTTAGGAAGGAAAAGTCAGTGTTGTGATTTGACTTACCGCAGAGCAAACAGAACTATTGCCATTATACAGTATATCTGGTACATGTGAAGACTGGCACTGTTATTATTGTTACAAGCCTTTTCATAATCTAATACGTACAGTTTGTTCTGAGATGGTTATTATGAGTCTCGACAACTTGTAGAGTTGTTACCGTTAAAACTACATGAAACGTGAAATGGCTGTAATATCTGTGATGGCACTCAAAACCCTTTGCTTACTTTGCAGGTGTCCTGAGAACTGCAGACTTCAACCAAAAGCAATAGCACTTCATTGAGCTACCACTGGGAGTCACAAATATATATAGGCTTCAAACTCCAGCTCAGCAAACAGGTAATCTGTTTTCACATCGCTTTTTATACTGATGAAATGTTACGATATGCTTCCACCAGGATTATGTCTGCTATTTCTGTAGCCAAGTGCCTCCCCCACCTCACAGTTCACTCTTATAAGGCTGTCATGGGCTGTTATTTGGCAATATTAACGTCTTCTTGTGAAAATACTCATAGACAACAGAGGGATGTGGAAGGAGAAACGCCGCAAAAAATAATAGACAAGGATTTTGAAAGTGTTGGCTTCTGATTTGCGGTGCAAATTACAGGGCATGTTGAAAGGGTGGGCTGTGATTGCCCTGCAAACCTAAAAGGGCTAAATGAGAGACACGTAGTACATGGAGAGGAGAGATTGTTGCTCTCTGCGTGAGTTGTATAATGTTTGTGTGTGGAGACAGGAACTACCAAGATATCTGTCTGAGGGGCCCAGTGATGCCACAACTTTTAAGTTCTCTGTGTTTGGGATGCCGTATGCAGCCTGGGAAAAAAATAAAAGTGACAATATATGTTGAGCAGAATCAAAATGTGTTCCAAACACAATGTGCATAAAATGTCCTAATTTGCAGCGAAAAAATTAAATTCATTAATAGAAATCACCAGTTAAATGTCAGTTAAACTTTGCCATTCATCATTAAGAATCTTTTTTGTATTCTGTCAGGTGAAATGTGTCCACACTCTTGATTCATGACTAATACACGCATAGTAAGTTACTTTCTGACCTTGCCAGTCAGCTTATTATAGACCTATATCAAGTTTTAAATTAGGACTGGGGACATTTCTCCAATGTCACCTCTTGTGCTGTTCCTCCATCATATGAGAGCAAAAAAAGGGCATAAACTAAACAAATTATATCACAAATCACTCTAAATAACAGTGTCTTGTAAAGTTAGTAGAGGACATTCAAGCGTATGTAAAAAAATAAACGTGTACTAACATTCAGCAGTGAAATAATCAACTGAACCAAGAGTGAACCAATGTGTTACAGTACATCCATCCATAATCATCCACCAGCTGTTAGAGAAAGCCGATTGTAGCCCGGCCCATCTCAACACACAACCAACACGAGCTAGCAGCCGCTGCCACTTTGGAAACCGATTTTCTGTCAAACCTGTGCCATGATATCACACCGTGCACAGACTTAAGTGCTGTACCAGTCACCGTTATCAGGTAAGATGCAGACTAGTCCGGGTTAGAGTGATAAAAATAAACCTCGGCCCCGGGAGGAGAGAGAGCTGGTCAGTCAAGATTAACGCTAGCCGCTGCTAGCTGAGGCAGCTAACCTACAGTTATATAGTGTGTCCGCTGTTGTTGAAGCTAATGCTAACGCTACTCAAAACATGCGGGTACATTAGTGTATAGTACACACGACACGTTTCTGTACGGCCAGTTGAATACATAACAAAGCACTTCAGCCCTGCTCGGCTGGGTCTACGCACAGTTTCACCCGCTTTAACTAATAGTAATGATATAACGTTAGCTATTATCGCTGGCTTTTGTAAAAACATGTTCTTTACTGAAACCGATGTTCCCCATTTGTCAAAGCAGATGTGGAACTGAGCAGCGCTGCACATGGTAGATGGATACTTGTTGGTCTGCTTAAACTCCGAGCACGACATTGTTGATTATCGGGGTTCATGTACGAGTCCTGGTGTCATTGGCTGATCCTTTCACTGAGCCCGTAAACTCAGTGGAAGAAAGCTAAACTTTAAACAGGCTAGGTTTGCTGTGACCCCCTTGCTGCTTGCCAAACAGTGCTACAATCAAGTTCAGAGGGGGCAAACTCCAAAGAAAGTGTAGACTGCCAGCTACTATAGGAGTGGATTATCTGCTGTAGCAATAAATATGATAAAGGAATACTTGGTTTGCAATCAGTGATAAGTTCCTCTCTCCGTGTCTCGAACACAGGATGTCAGGTAAAAAGTCTTTATCTGGAACCACACCTACCTGTATTACATAGTTTATTGTGTATATGTAAAGCATGTACACTCAATGCAGTGTAAGCCAACTCAGTTTAGACGCCTGATATTGAATGTCTGATCATCTTCAAACCACCTTTTCTTGCTCATGCACTGACTGAAGGCTGGAGTCTAAAGTATTTAACAGACACGTTAAAAGACGGTGTCTTATTAGTAGAATGTTTATGTATTGAAGCTCAGAAAATCATGTTTTTCTACGTGTCATGTCCAATAAATGCCCTCTGGATGTAAAGTAGAGGCCTCTTCTTTATAGATGTTTATAAATGAGTTATACATAACATATATTCATAGTCCTGCAGATTGACATAGACAAACAGCATGCACCAGGTCAGGACTGAGCTCTTATTGATTATATGCCACAAACACAGATTGTTGACTGACATTTTTGTAGTCAGGCTCATAGTTAACATGTTTAGAGACATGCCAGTGTTTACCCTAATTTAGCTGTGGTGAAAATAAAACAGACAATTAATTATCTAATGCTCAATTCCTTAGGTCAGTGTGTACAGTACAAACAACTGTATGTAATGTTGTCACTGTGGGCAGGGCGAGGGAATGAAGCATTGAACCGACCACAAGCAATCCATTTTAAATATTGCAACACTTTGTAAATACACTGGTTGCAACTAGATTATCAGCTCCACTGATAAATGAGGGGAAAATGGTTGGTAATTGCAGTGGATTGACAGTATATAAACATGAGATAATCACTTTCAGGTCTTAACTGGATTGAGGTTATTTAGGCTGCGGGGATCTCATCATCCTCACACAGTGATCTATTAAGTTGGAACAAGAGGACAATCGGTCAAGTAAGGCTCAGCATTAATGTGTATCCACTAAAGAGGCCCCGAAACAGACACAATACAAGTCTTTCCTCGGCCGGCCCTGTTGTTCCCTTGTCACCATGTTTCCGATCCCGGAGGTGCTGTGGATAAAGTTAATTTAACAACAGTGGCATCTGCATTTCTGGCATCCTCCAAGAAGTCCACTTCAGACTGTATAATAAAACAGTGTACTGACTGGGCCTCCTGATTAATTACAGGAGTGGTAGACCTGCGTTCTGAATGTGTTATTACCATAATTTGGGCCGTGGCAGAGTATTGGTCAGTTTGCTCACACAGATATTCACCCACTTGTTTGTTAAGTTACTTGAATGCAAAAAAAAAACAGTTGCCCATGTGATATTACTACATTACTTACTGGTATGTGTCAAAGAGATCAGACTGCTTTTAGGCTAATCATCTGATTTATAAAGGTTGTAATGTATGATTGACATTAAGAGCCCTGGCATGTGGCATTAGAATAACGTTAATGGAAGTTTATTGTGGAAGGTCATAACTGTAGACTCACTTAAGAAATTAAATCTTTTTTTAATTGTCTGGATGGTTTTTTTTTCCATAAGGAGTTGTATTTCTCCCACAGTCTATGTCTGGGCAGCATTTTGAATCAATTCAATTTAATAAAAGCCTTTCTGTATTCAACTGTAGATTTCCCCATTTGTGGTAATGTTGACCTCAGATCCGCCTGCTTACTGAGGAATGTCTAGTCGATGTGTGTGTTAAGTATTTTCATGATTTTGAGCAATGTTGGTTGTTGTCGCTCTTATTGAATTAGAGGAGGACATTGTCATGGTTTAATAATGGATTTAATGATAAACGTCAGTGATTATGTTTCCTGCAGTGCTGAAATTGTGCTACTGATTTTTATCAGTACAATATATATTAATTTGAATTTTGGACTCATGAGACCTCTGTGTGCTTGTATATGGATTCATAAACATACATTTCATTTCATGGCAAGCATGAAGTGTTTTCCATGCTTGTTCCTGTAATGAAATTGAGAAGTACAGACAGCCTCTGGCAGGCGGGTTGCTGCAGTGCTCTTACTGCCATACTTGAACATAAGTTATGTGTCTGAATAAGGAAGAGCGGCCACTGTACATGAGCATAGTGACCTTCATCCAGTCACCTTGGCTATTTTTAATGTATAGAAATGTCACAGACAAAGACGTCACATTGTGGAGATGGTTGGAGGACCGTATAGTTTTAATTTAAGCGTCAAAGGTTCTGGTTTGGTGGATCTAGGGTATTTTTGATGGCTCAAAAAGCATAACTGAGGAAAAAATAGCACAAACAACACAGGTTCTAAGTACTGCTAAAGAACAAGGGAACAAGCAGTCCTTTTGTGATGTTAGCCTGCTGATAATGCAAAATCTGGGTGCTGTACACAGGCCATGCTTTCAGAAAACAAAATGACTTGGTTAGTAGTCACTGGGGGTAATTTAGCCTAGTTTAGTCGGGCTTTAACAGAACTTAGAAGTTGGTCTAAATGCAAAGGAACATTTGTTTTCTACTGGATTAAGGCAACATTTCTACTTCATTTTACCTGCATCCATTTTCCTCTTTGTCTGCCTGTTTGCTCCTGGTTCCTGTGTTTACACTCAAACCATTCCACATGGATAATTTAAAGGCATAGGTGAAAACAGTATTGATCAGTAATAGTTACTGTAAAGGTTTGGAGACTGTGTTTCAGGCAGTGGTCGGGTCCTGTAGCTTATGATCGGGCATTCCTGGCACTTTTGCACCCTCTCTTTCAGTATTTTTTAGTAAATAATCAGACGTTTACAAGAGAACTGCAATGATGATGATGTGATTGTGAAAGTACCTGCGGCATCTGTGCTTAGATGCTTGTTTACCTGTGGCATGTGTTTTACCAGGTGCCGTGAAGGTAGTTTGAAAGACGGATATACGAGGTGAAAGGTTGTACGCCTTTACTCACTTTGACCTCTCTTGGTTTATTTTTTCCCCTGCAGACATCATGTCTTCCAGGGAGCGTCGGTCCGATGTCTACATAAAGGCAGAACCAAGCAGTCCAGAGGGAGGTGGGGGGGGTCGAACCAGCCCCGGCGGAGCTTCCTCAGACTCCTCTCAAAGTGGAGGTGGAGGAACCAGAGGAGACGGGGCTAAACGTTACTCCCCGCCACTCTACACACCAGCTCTACGTTGCCACTTCAAAGACGAGGGTGGCGACGGGGCAGAGGAAGGCTCCACTGGAAATGGAGCAGGGCGATGCAAGTACGCCCTCAGCACACTGCCCAAGAGGCTGTGTTTAGTATGTGGGGATGTAGCCTCGGGTTACCACTACGGCGTGGCGTCATGTGAGGCCTGCAAAGCGTTCTTCAAGAGAACCATCCAAGGTGTGTTTTGTGGTGAGGTTAAATTGTTTGCATAGCAGAACAGCAGTTCATATTCTCCCCTGACACCTTCTGAAATGTTACAAGTTGATGGGTTGTACATTCTGAGTACTTAAATCATGTTAAATGTGCAGCACACTGACTGCTATTGACCACCGACACAAAATAATATTTCAGAGAATTAGTGCAGTGTATATTTTTCTTACTACAGCTGCACACCTCCAGTATTCTAGTATTCCATTAAAAGCTCTCATTTAAGTTTCAAACACAAGAGCACAGTTAGTAAAACTATTAAGCTATAGTAGAAAAGTCTGAAGAATGGAGGAGTCTCTAAGGACCCACATCATATACTAATGGTGTTATTCTTTAACTTGCTTCAGTACACTGTTGCTACAACCACACCATCTGGTTTATACTGGTCTGTTAAACAAAAACCACCAACACCCTGCAGTTACTGTACTGTATGTATGTATGTTGGGAAACTTTGTGTGTAGGCACGTTACTTTATGCAATCTCCACCCTGAATATGTTTAAAAGATCAGAAAGGTTTAAGAAGTAGGAAATAGAAATATAAGAAGGTGGTTTTCCTTATCAAATGATTATAAATGATTTTCTTTTTTAATCACCTTCTGAGCTGTAAATTGATATTTTTTGTTCTTCCATAAAGGTAACATTGAATACAGCTGTCCAGCATCGAATGAGTGTGAGATCACCAAGAGGCGCAGAAAGGCTTGTCAGGCATGCCGGTTCACCAAGTGCCTCAAAGTAGGCATGCTGAAAGAGGGTGAGTGTTCATGGTGTGCAGAAGCTCTGTAGCCTTTCTTTCATCATCGTCTTTTTTTATTTATGTATGTGGAGGGTCTCTGTGCTGATATTTTAAATATGGTTTATGTTTATTCTGTGTTTTCCAACCAGGAAACCTAAAAATTATTAAATTTTTCACAATGTAGGAGTTCGTCTCGACAGGGTGAGGGGTGGAAGACAGAAGTACAAAAGGCGTCCAGAAGTAGAGAATGCCACATACCAGAGTGCCCCTCTACCACTGACAAAGGAGAGTGAAAAAGGTGGGTCTAATATTCTTGTCATTAGTTTTTTGTTCTATAACAGGCCACTGTTTTTTAATTATTAAATGTCCACTACTAAATGTCAGAACTTAAAGACTGTGGGTGCCACATGTCACTATTTAAAACTGGAAAGCTGCACTCAGCCCACACATCGATCTATTATGACACTGGACTCTCATATGCCTGGGGATTGGGGTTTGTGTGTTTTTTTCAGCAAAAGGCGTCTTGCTGTTGCTAGGCAACACATTATCAGCTGTCGATCGATTGTGTGCTGGCAAACTACGTGTTGCCACCAACAGCAGCCGTGTTCAGGCAATTAAAAACAGAGTTATCATAGAAAAACATATCTAAGGTTGGGGTAGCTAGCAACAGTTCAGTATGGGGGGGCCCCTGTGCTCTTCTGATTCAGAGGTAGAGCTAGAGAGTTCATCTACTTATAGTTGAACACTTTTTATTTCTTCGTTTAAACTTAATGCCCTGAGCCTACAAGCACCACACTTTTTCAGTCAATACAAGAGTGAAATACTGCAGCTGTGCTAATTTTCACAAATTTAGATGACCTAACTTAGAGCTCTTGATTCATAAATCTGCCTGAGAAGTTGAGCAAGTTAAAAACCAAAACTCTCATTTGTAAGAATATGTGTCTGGCAGGTTTAAAACCTATATTTGAAGTAAGGATATGGAAACTTGCATGAATATAGTGCAGTACATAGTACAGAGTTGCAGGTTGTTTAGTTGACAATATCCATACTGGATGACAGTGACAGTGAGTTGATATTTTTGGTATCAGTGTGTCACTGCAATGTGTGTGTGTATTATATTAATCCATTGATTTGTGTGTGTTTTATGACATAGGTTCCTCCAACATCATTGTGTCCCACCTTCTAGTGGCAGAGCCAGAAAAGTTATTTGCCATGCCTGACCCGCTGCAGCCCGACACAGCCCAGCGCACGCTCACCACCCTTTGTGACCTTGCTGACCGTGAACTGGTCGTCATCATTGGCTGGGCCAAACACATTCCTGGTAAGAGATGCACAGAGGATCAAATTAGGGGAGGAGAGCCAGTGATTGCATGGCAGCAGTGGAAGAGATGTAGTGATCCAATCTCACTGACTGTGTCATGTTTGACTCAGGCCATGACTTCTATGTTTATTTTTACAGAACTGGAATACTGACTATTATAAATGGCCTGTGTCAACCCGATTCTGATGGCTGAACAGCCTAATTGATAGGTACAACAAAATTAGTAGGTAAAACAAAATCTGTGGAACAAAATCTATAGTCAACACAAACTAAATTAATTTACTGGTGTTTGTGTGGTTGTGTTAGAAGAGGAGACGCTGACAGGTCAACTGAACTGTGCTTAAGTGTATTACAAGCTAGAGTTGGGTCGCCAGCTGCCTACAGTATGTAGCCCATTACTTTGCTACTATAAAGACATGGGACCATTGCTTGCTGTGTCAGCTGACACCAAACATGTGAACCTATTGCCAGTTTGCCTCCTCTGCATTTAAATTCCTCTCTCTCTCTTTCTGTGTCTGTTTATTCCCACGCAGGCTTCCTGTCACTGTCCCTAGCAGACCAGATGTCCGTGCTGCAGTCAGTGTGGCTGGAGGTGCTGGTGCTGGGTGTGGCGTACCGCTCGCTTGGCTGCGAGGATGAGGTGGTGTTCGCAGAGGATTTTGTCCTTGATGAGGAGATGTCACGTGTTGCTGGACTGACAGAGCTAAATGCAGCAATTAGTCAACTTGCTCGCCGTTTTCGTGCACTAAATGTGGACCGGGAGGAATTTGTCATGCTAAAAGCCATCGCACTCACTAACTCAGGTACGTAACACTTGTGTAGTTGAACAGTTAGGCAGACCTGAAGATTATATTGTGTGTTAGGTGATGCTACGCAAAATGCAAAAAGAATATCTATTCTTTGTAATGGTTCTTTTGAGAGACACATCTGTCGAAACATATAGTGTAGAGTAGAAATCTTTCAAATTAATATAAGTTTACCAGTCATAACCTTAATATAGATATCTATCACTGTCAACAGTAGCATCAACACTAGCATATCCTGCTTGTGCTACAAATCCACTGATTGTTTTGTAAACAAAGGCTGCCATTAGTTTGTAATTGTGGTAAATTGCTGGGCAACACTAGCTTTCTTTACGTGGCAAAAGCTGTGAAAAATTCACCCCACAATGTGCCTTACCATGTGCTCCCTGCTGTTCTGTCAGACTCTGTTTACATCGAGGATATGGAGGCTGTGCAGAAGCTGCGGGACCTCCTCCACCAGGCCCTGCTGGAGCTGGAATGTCAGCGGCGCCCAGACGACCCCCAGCGGGCAGGACGCCTACTTTTAACGTTGCCTCTCCTCCGACAGACTGCTGGTCGTGCTCTCACCACCTTCTACAGCATCAAGACGCGGGGTGGTGTACCCATGCACAAACTATTCCTGGAGATGCTGGAAGCCATGATGGACTCTCCCTAGAGCGGACAGCAGCAGAAGTACAGAGGATGCAGAGAAAGACCCAACGGAGACCTAGTCTTCAAGAGTGGACGAGTGATTTGTGAGAAATGAAAGATTTTATTAGAGAAATAATAATGAGGAAAATGGTCCTTTTTCCCCGGGATACTCAAAGAAAGGAAAAGAAAAGAAAAACCTTATTCATGTATTCATGTTCCTAAGTGGGAATTGGTTATTTACAGTAAGATGTAACTGCCAAACTGGTTTCGAGATCCAAGAGTGAAAACATATAACATGAATGCCAGAAAACTTCTCAGTTTCAACTATTTTCATGGCGTGTTCCATCACAGCATCGACCTGCAGTTGCATAACCACTGAAGAACAACATTTAGGTACCCTAGAACAGACTGCAGTCATGTGGCTTTTGAACTTTTTAAAAATAATGCAACATCTACTCATGAAAGCCATAATAACATATCTGGTGAAAGGCTTGAGGGTCCAGTATAGGGTCAGATTGACATGCACATGGAGTGCTTGTATTTACTATAGTTTAGTGTGCCGTTATAGGCAAATTCATAGGAATTACTTGCAATATGTTAAAAGCAATATAATGACTCGATTATTGTCTGTCACATTTAAAATGTGGTAAAAATGGTGAGACATCTAGTTGTGTATGTATATCAGTAGTTCTTCACTCTCAGGACCCCAAGTGTTGATTTTATAAACTTCTAGCTTCGAGTAGAGACTGGTTTGGGTCGGGGAGTCCAGGTGAGTAGGTTTAACGTCTGGTAAGAGAGAGAACACTTTCGGGGTCAAATAGTGGAGTTGGGAACCACTGGTGTACATAATAGGTGCAGGATTCTTTATACAAAGGTTGTGCAATGGATTTGTAGTGGAGGAGAAGTGCATATGAAGATTGTGTGCTCATAAAATGCTCTACTTGGAAGGTAATATATTCAGTGTTGTCTGTAAATCCTATTGGCACACAAAAAACTGGCTTTCATACAAGCAAGCGTGTGCGTTCGTGTGCAGTCTAAACAAATGAGCTACACTGAGATCAGGGAAGAACACAAGTCTTTGACATTAAAGCCAGTGTGGCAACAACTGTAGTTAGAAAAGAAATGAATATGCCTCATCTGCTTTTTTATACTATCCTCTCCACTAGATCTAATCACTATTTTTGACTTCAGCAGCTGTGCTGTCCAGGAATAATGGTCTGACCTATTTGATTTGTGGGCTAAAATGTCTAACACTAACCCATATGATTGTTAGGTGTACGATGCGTTTTTGCTGCATTTTCTGCAGTAGTGAAGAAGGTTGCATAGAAGGTCTCGATTGTTTCAATGTGAGATCCCTCCTTTATGTATGTACGTCTGTTGAACTTGAACTTGTAAGTGGCCGTAATGGGCTCAGGACAACAAGAAATGCAACATATGCAACATCTTCCTTTTGGATGTTGAACCTTGTCTGACGACATCCTGAAGTCCTACTCATTGTTCAGCAGGTTTGTATACTAACAATAGAAATGATCGTTGTAGGAAGCTTCACATGCAAGGCTACAGTATCCGATGTCAACATCAGATGAGTAAATATAATATTTGGTGGTCAAAGGGCCATTAATCTTTTAGCCATGTACAGTTCCATTTAAATAAACAGAAACATGCAATTTATAGTGGAAGATAATAAAGCCAGCAAATGTGATACAAATTCCCCATTACAATTCTATTTGTGCAGCTTACAGTGTTCTAAAATTTGTAAAGACTTGAAACTTGCTTTTTCATACATTTTCCTTTCTAGGATCTAAGGGTATTTTATTTACATTGTGACACTGTTGTGGGTTTGGTATTGAAATGAAGCTTTCCATTCAGGATATTCTGAATATTAATTGTTTTTGTTTTTTTATGTAAGCAGTGGTGTGTTTTCTGAAGCTGATTGTCATTTTAGGGATCAATTTACATGGCTCTATAGATTTAGCAGCATGGTGAGGCTACAGAGGGCTAACTCAGAAGGCAGAGTAAGCCAGATGGCCAAATAACTGTGGAGACAAATGTAATTGTTGATCTTTTGATTTGTCAATTTGAATATTGGGTTTATTGAATGTCTTGCAGTTGCGCAAACACCTGAGATCATTTTTTCCCTTTGTTTTCATAACTTTAAGGTGTATATGGCTCATTAATCATGCTTTATAAGATGCCCCACTGTGTCTCACAGTCGGGGGCAAGCCTACAGTTGGTATGCTTTCACAGGAATAATGGTGCAGTACGAAAACGCTGGAGGTCATTTATGGCAGATCAAATTGAAAACGGTTCACTTGTAACACGCAGGTTTTGTGTTGGCAACAGCTATCACTGTGGAGCAGGGACTGATGTCTCGGGACTCTCTGATTCACCTGTTTGATGATTCATAGGTTACAACTTACATATTACTGTCATCTAAAAATGGGTTTTTTTTTGGCCTCTGATTTGTTTACTAACCTAATGTCTCAAATAGTAATCAGAATTCTGAAGCAAACAAATATAGATGCCTGGGTCGAATTAGAGCTGTTAAAAGACTCCTCATAGTAACTTGGTCATTTACACAAAGGTAGATTTTTCATTAGCATACAGATGTTTTAGGTACGGTGGGTTAAGGTGAAGGCAAGGTCATTTGCAGTGTCACTGTTAGAATAATACACTCATTTGTAGTTTTATTAAATATGTGCGCATTAATATAAATGAGCAATACAATAAATTACCAAACCTCACATTTCCTTGTATAGCCACAGTGTACATTTAACATTGCCAGTTATAATGAAAAATAGCAACTAAACGTTATATTATTTAGAAGTTCAAATCAATGTTTGTATTTTGAAAGACTATTTAAATGATTAAATTCTATTTTTTACTCAATTTACCGTTGTTTGTTGACACTGCTTTATTTTTGTGTGTGATATTGGCTGTGAATTTCTGTGTCTAGGCTATTTTTTGTTTTAATTAGAACAGTTTGATGTCCTTGTCTAAACATGTCCACATAAAAATCACTGTGAAAAAAGTGAGATCTTCCACTGTCTGACGCAACAGGGAGTGGATTATTGTAGGTGCTTTGTGTTGTGTAATAAATGGACACACCACCACCACATATCATTGGTCTCATCTCTCCCTGTGTACATTTATGTATGTGTATTTGTGTGTGTGTGTGTGTGTTAGATGGAGGTAGTGTGAAGAAGACAGCTGTTGAAATGTTCAACTTGGTGATTTCTGTTTGTCCTTGCAGTGCACATTTAGACACTCACTGATACTGATGATGATGATGATGATGAGACAGTTCCTTCCTTCAAAGATTGTGCAAAACACTAAATGTTGCACCCTCTTCACATGAGAAAAGGATACTTCAGAATAAAACAATACATAGATGGTAGTAGTTGATTGTTAACCTGCCCATACTACCATTATAAACCATCTGATATAGATTATTTGTTGCTGATTTGAAACAGCACGTTGCCACAGAGAAGCTTTACTGTCTGTGGCAACATTACAGTGTCATGTCTGTGTATGACTGCCAATGAGTGTGCGTGAGCTTTAATGCGTGACATTAAATTGGTTCAGGGGTTTAACTATCACTAACCTTACTATAGTTAAAAATGTGTTTATATAATTCAAATTCCCCCCAGCTCCACGTAGGTTTCCCTTGCTTTATACTGTATTTAATAGACAGATAACACGCTACATTAGACATATGGCTTCTTGCTAGCAGATGGCGCAGTAAATAAAGATTTAGCAGGCCCAGATCTGGAAGCTAGTTAGATTAAGTCCCGGGCAGACAAACTCAATGTGGGACAGCCCTGCAGGTTAACTGTAGGAAGTTACAGTGACAGTACCGCTAACTCGGGACGAGGTGTGTCTGAGGGCAGGGACGCAGCACGGCACATTTCCTGCAGAGCTACACAATATTGTTACTCAACCATAGCTTAGCTGCTGCAATAAGACCCACAATGCTTTCCATCACAGCCACCGTCACCAGGAGCTCCCGGGTCGCCCAGTGCGTGAGGCTGCTGCACTCTTCTCCTGTCGCCAAAATGCCCATTCAGGTACGAGTTGTTGCGTTTAGGTAGCGTTAGCTGTATGTGCTAACGTCACATAGGTAGTTCAGTGCAGTTTTGACGGAGAATGAATTAAAGCCCGCTCTACACATCCGTCCCCTTTCTCGCTTTTAGTTAGCTCACCGTGCTAACTGTCCGTCTGAACCCGTCGCCATGACAGCCGTTAGCTACGAACGATGGAATGTGTTTGTTTGTTTGTTTGTTTGTTTGTTTGTTACAACCGTGAAACGTCCGCTCGGTGCTCGACAGCAACTTCCTCAGCACCTGTCAATGATTGACTGCAACACTAGCTGTCGACTGGCCGACCCGCTGCCTTTTATAACGCCATGTAGTTGTTCGGGACATTACAATACCTTTTTAAAGGACGTGTTTAGGTGCCATTAAAGTTGCGTTGCCCTGTCTTGGTTTCTTTGTGTGATAACGTTACAACGTCAGTAAATTAATGTGCAAGCATAACCTTATTCTATAAGTTAGGTCTCTGAAGGCGTGCGTACTTCACTGCTGCCCTGAGTGCCAAGTTTTGTTTTTATTAAAATATCTTCAAGGGCATAACATTGTTGAAGTGTAACGTATATTTGTGAGCGCTCATTGCAAAGACTTTGAAGCACTTAGTGTAATAAAGTGTGTCACTTAGTCCGTCAATGTCAGGCTTAAATTTAGTTCAGGTATTCGGCCATTTTAACGAGACCTGTATGTGTATGTGGTGATCTGTCTCCCTCCAGTGGACGCCTGGCGGAGAGCCCGTCTATTGTAATTCAAAAGGAAATCCTGTGAAGATTAACTCTACAGCATTTGCTAAACCACCAGGCTCTTATCTAAGCATTACTGCGAGGCCTAATTTGGAGACTGGTTTCTTTTAATAATACGTGTGGTGATTAAGTTGAGTAAATGTGGAATTAAAAAAAAGCTCATTCAATATTTCAATTATGTTTTGCACATGTTTTCTGGGCATTCACCAAAGTATGTGTGTGACTGTATATATAATACAACAACTATCAACATTCTTCAGCTTTTCACAAAAAGCTGGCAAGTTTTCTACAAAGCTGAGCTCAGCAACAATGCACGTTTATAAAACAATCTTCTCTCAAGCTGTTATTCTGCTGATGTCCATAATAAAAGTACATATGTACATGCAGAGTTAGCAGCATTTAAGAAGTTCAAAGCATAAAGCAATGTCTTCAGGAAATATCTGCGTCACGAGCCTATACTGTACAGAGATACTGTGTGTGCTGTGTAAGTCTGCTGACACTCTCTGACCTAAGGAATCAGCGGATTCTACCTGCCAGTGACACCAGCAAAGCAATTTACCTGCAGGGGCAGACACAAATATATTGGTGTCATTCGCTGTGCTAATTTGGGTTTAATTTTTTGTCTATCGTCTTCTCATTCCCCAACAGGTTGGTGAACAACTCCCTGCAGTGGAGGTCCAGGAGGGGGAGCCAGGGAATAAGGTGGCTATGGATCAGCTCTTCAAGGGGAAGAAGGGAGTCCTCTTTGCTGTACCTGGAGCTTTTACCCCTGGTTGTTCCAAGGTTGAGTCCACACTGTCCTCTCTGTTTGCTTTGTCTTGTGCACAACCATCTTTGCATCAGCTGACAGTTGCGTTGCTCTTGTTGCTTCCAGACTCACCTCCCAGGTTTTGTGCAGCAGGCTGAGGACTTGAAGAGTAAAGGTGTACAGGAGGTCGCTTGCATTTCTGTCAATGACGCATTTGTCATGGCTGCCTGGGGAAAGGAGCATGGAGCAGATGGCAAGGTATGGACTACAGTAGTTTTTGCGTGGTGAGCAACTTCTGTAACAACCTGCACCAAGCCAGATTGTGAGATAAAAGCTGACCACATTGTCATCATTCAGAGGCTGATAATATCATTAATCAGACATCTCACATATTTAAGAGCTGCGGACAATTCAGTCAGACGTCTTGTATGAGTAAATAAATGGGGATCCTATTTGGCACCCATTTGTGCTGGATTTAAATAGCAGGTAATCCCAGCAATCTGCTGAACATTATTATTGTGCATTGGGCTGTTTGCACAATAGAGGCATTTTAGAAATCATGACTAACTGCATGCAACCTTTCAGTCCCTTTGACAATAATATGCTCACAGTAGATGATGAATTAAAGATGAGCTATGACAGTTTTACTCTACTGTAAGCTCACTGACATTGTCTTTGTGTCTTGTGAAGTCAGTTTAGGAAATAGTTTCTAAGTGGCCTTTCTTAAGAATAGAGAAGTTGATGAAACCACATACTTAAATAGACATGAAATGCACAACCATATTTCAGATAATAAGGATGTTGGGCTTTCTGCTACTTTCTCCTGCAGGTTCGAATGCTGGCTGATCCCACTGGAGCTTTTGCAAAGGTAAAAACAAAATGTTTGGTATATTTAGGTTCTATTAAATGGGATTGTATGTACTCATCTGGCTTTTTCTTTCTGCCTCTCAGGCTGTTGACCTGTTACTTGACAGTGATCAGATTGTGCAGGTACTTGGGAACAAGCGATCCAAGAGGTAATTGTCCTTTGGCCCATTTTTATAAATACAAATTGGAATTGTTGGACTTGAGTGTTACATAGGTAGTAATGAATGAGTATGTAATGATAATACTGAGAAAACCACTGCAAGACTCTATTTGATTTCAGGTTTATGACATATTTTCACTTCTTTAACGTATTTCAGTCCTAAATCAATTCACTGAATTATTGTATTTTTTTGTTTTAGTTTAATTTTGGTGCTTAAATTACGTTCAGGATCATGCTCCAAACTTAATCTTTTATTCAATCAATCTTTAAAGTGGGTGTGTCTGAGTCAGTGTCTGACTTTTACTGGTACATTTTTAAGTTTATAGCTATAAATATATGTATATATGTACTTCATCCTGTGTTCCAGATATTCCATGTTGGTGGAAGATGGAGTTGTGAAGAAGATCAATGTGGAGCCTGATGGCACCGGGCTGACCTGCAGCCTGGCGTCCAATATTCTGTCTGATCTGTAGGATTATTTAGAGCTTATTTAACCAAACTGCAAACACTGAGTTACTGTAAAAGTTGCACTAACAAAGCTCATTACCTACCAACCTGTTCAAGCTTCCTCCTTTTCCCAAAGACGGATGCAAATGTCACATGGATGCTAGTGTTAAAAACAGAGCTGGAAGGTAATTAATGCGCACAACTATGACATTAATGGCAATCCAAAGTAACATTCATCGTCCTCTCTGTACTGTTTACTTGTGAGCAAATAAAAGTCACCCTGAAAGCAATAATCAATGTTTTCCTGTGTTGCTCATAGTTATTTAGTGTGTAAAATATTACAGATCTGTGATCTTTTATAAATAATGCAAGACAAAATGCCCAGTGTCATAATGTTTCCATGTTATGTAAATGAGACATTTCAACTCAGAGTAAGCATGCATAAAAATCAAAGGAAGACAACCTGAGCGGTCAACACTGGCCATCTGAAAATGGAGCGGCATGTGGCAGATGAGCATATTGTGTGAACATACTATGTGAGCAATGTTTAAATCCATCCTACACGTCCATGCAAAATCAGATTTTCTGAAGCACATTGCTTTAATTATTGATACAAACTATGTATCAGTGTTACGACATAAAAGGCTTCTGAGGTTTGGCACCACACATGCACTGAAATGTAGAAATGTTGACTCATTTAACTTTAGAAGGCTTTGCACCAGGCTTGTTGACATTTTCAACAGAATTTACATAACTGTATATTATTTGAACGCCACTGATCTACAAGAACATTCAATGGATCTGTGGCTGGCAAAAATAAGTATTGCCCTAAAAACCTTTTCATCAAAGTTCTTTTTAACAACCTAATATAACTTACTTTATTGTAACTTGTAGTGCAAGAAGCCTGGCATAGTGATGGATCAATGCTAGTGTACTTGCAGTATCAGAAGAAATCACGAGTCGCTTGTTGTTTAAAGTGTTGTTTATCCTGTGAGTCAATGATCAGGGAACAGAACAGCGTGCTCTGCACCCCGTGACGTAGCACGCAGGAGTCGAGCGCAGTGCATTGTGGTCGCCGGTGTTTGACTAGAAACCAAATACATCTGAGAGAAACAGAAAGCACACTGCTCTCCTGCTAACAGTTAACTACGGTGATATTCAGCCTAGGTAAGGGCAATGCTCAGACAT